ATATTTTCAAAATTATTGAAATTCTCAAACTTTTTCAATTCAATACATATATTAAAATAAGAACCACAATTAGTAACGAAAAACCAAAAATCAGTAAAAAGTACGCCGAAAAAGAAGATTTCATAAATAAACAAATTTCAGATTATACAACGGACAAAATTAATCAATACGAATATGTTGAGATTTTAAGTTATAGAAATAAATCTCATAAAATATAAAATTTCGTATTTTATGTATTTTTAATTTTTATTATATTTTTTAATCACCATATTATACAATATTTATTTGTGAAAATGCACGATTTTTATTATATTTTTTAATCACCATATTGTACAATATTTATTTATGAAAATGCACTATGACGATTTTTATTATATTTTTTAATCATCATAATATATATTTTGTTTTTTTAAATTCGTACATACATATTTAATTGTGTATAATATACATATTTAACCCTTTCCGCAGTAACTAACATACGTACCTGCAGGTTTTTACCGTGTAGGAACTTACATATGTACCTTTTTCCGTCGTGTAGGAACTAACGTATGTATTTTGTGTACCTGCTACTCTCGTGTAGGAACTTACACTCGCTTTTTTTTTTTTGTTTTTCCGACCTGGCAATTAACATACTTTTAACTCCCCGAAGCTTATTTAGGTCACATCAAAGAATTTTCCAATTAAAGTTGTACAGAAAATTCACAAGCCTGCAGGAATATATTCATTTTTAAGTTAACTTTAAAAAAATAGTTTGGGTGATGGGGAGTTTCAAAAAAATTTACTAAATTTTAGGTTCCCAGTTGATCGATGAATGTATTGATTTTACAACGATGTTTTCATTTTTTTAACCCTCGAGCGTCATAATATGCGTACACCACGCAACACCTTTACAACAGCAGGGCAATAGACGCATATTTTATAAAGAGTTTCTAAAAACTCGACAATTAATGCTATCAATATGACAGTGATGCCAATTATAATTTGTACAATTAAAGACAAATCCATGACTAAATAAATTAAAATTTTTTAGTCATGGATGAATTCCAAAGATATTCATGAAAAATATTAGATAAATATCAAACACTTTATGAGTCAATAAATTGTCTTCAAATCATATTATGCCTTCTGTGAATGGAGCCATAGCCTATCTTGCCTATGTAAACAATTTGAAGCACAATGTATTAGAGACAAGTATCTCAAATGCGTTATCTACGCATATGGGAGTATAATTGTCGCATATTTATTACTTATGAATTACTAGGGAGAATGTAGTTATTGTGATAAACCTGCGACAGTCTACACAAGCATGTGCAGATGATACTTTTCAACTAGACTCGTCGCGTATTGTGCTTCAAATATCTGGACATGGATAGTCTATAGTATATTATCTAAATTCTAAAGAATTTTGCCTTTTACTCTGTGATGACAACAATGATTTGTTTATCAATTTATCATTTTAATAATCACATTCGTAACAACTTTAGGAACCATTGGATGTTTAAATCTTAATTTGCAATAACTATGGAAATAAAGGGCCAGATATTTTATTTTTATTTTTAATAATTATATTATAATTGAGTTTATAAAAATAATCAAATATAAAAATGTAAAAAAACATTTTTAATTTATATAGCCTTTGGGTTACTGGAAAAAATTAATTCAACACTCAAAATATTTTTAATAGTGTGTCTGAAACATAGATAATATACTAATGGACAAGAACTGAGTATAACAACAGCATTATGAACGACGGAACAACATCTCGCAGTCTTGAAGACAGTACATAATAATCTATATAGTATATATCTATATATCTTAACCGGATACACGTCAATTGATCGTAAACAATTGATCGTGCGACAATTGACCGCAAACAATTGATCGCAAGCCAATTGACCGCAATTACAATTTACCGCACGACAATTGATCGGAAAATCAGGAATCGGAATCAGTAATAATTTTTAATTTGAATATATAAATATATTACATTAAGGTAGATATTTAATAAAAAATGTTGGTATATAAAAATTATACGTAATATTTTTTTAAATAAAAACATTTAATGAACCTACATATAATTGAATATAAATAATAATAATAATAAATATGTCACCCAATGGCCTTTGTTGCCGCGGGTTATCTAATGAAAAAAAAAAAAAATAATAATAATAATAATAAATATGTCACCCAATGGCCTTTGTTGCCGCGGGTTATCTAATGAAAAAAAAAAAAAATAATAATAATAATAATAAATACATTAAGGTAGGTCACGTATAATATATAAGAATTAAACACTAAATATTAAACTTGCAATTGAAAATTGTATGCAATGCCACGAAGAAAATCTTCAATATTTGTATAATTGCTATAATTGGTACATATTTTTTTGATTTTAGCCGCTCTATCTCGGTAAATTTTTTTTTTTGGAGGCTCATTGCCACCTACATACTGCTCGATTTTGAATCTGTTTATGCTCTCTTCTTTTTTTAATGCATCTATAAACCGCCAAATTGAAGGATGCTTACCATTTATAAGTGATGTGAAACAATTGTGCCACCCTTCTATAGCATTATTTGCTGTAGCTAAATCTTGGATTACTCTCGAAAAACAATTCCATAATGTGATTGCATATTTTGGTGGTTTTCTTTTTCCTCTCCTATCTAATTTTCCTACCCATGTATTCTCGAAATAATCCAACAGCGGCGCCAGTAGATCCTCATTATCTGTGTAGTAACTTGTAGCTAGTAGTGCATCATAACATTTAATTACATCTGCTTCTGGAATAAATGCTAATGCGGGTAGCATTCGAATTCTTAATGATAACTCTGGATCATTTCGATAAGTTGTCTGTAGGCCCAATTCTTGTACATGACGCCAAATGCATTGCGACATATGAAAAAAACAACCTTTTATCTCTGTATCACAAAACTCCATTTCGATAGCATTTAAAGCTGCTCTTTCATAATCTATCATAATACTTTTTGGATTTAAATTTGGTTTCAGTGATTTTAAAATTTCAAACATGTGACGGTAAGTTTTTTCTTTTTTATCTGGCAGTAATATGTAAACACTAGGAATAACGTTGGAATAATACACCCCGTGTATAGTATATAACTGAGAAAAAATAGGGGGTGCCACTGAAAATGTTCCGTCGCAAAACCAATTATCACATTCGCTCATAAAATCTAAATTTTGTTGAGTTGTAAATATTAAAATACGAGATTCAGTAGGACCACTATCGAATTTTAAAAATAATTCGCCATTAGAGTTATACCTATATTGATCTGGTATAATAAATTCAAAATTACTTGGATTAGCCGGTGTAGCTTCCTCCTTTTGGCGCAAACGTTGAATTGTCCTTTTCAAGGTATTAACACTCGACATTTCCGCGGAAACTGCACTTGTTACCTAATTTAGTTTAATTTTCATAATTAATATTTTATCCATTTCTATGCCACTAAAATATGAATTACCTGCATAACTGTGTTTCCTAAAACTGAATGTGTGCTGAGAGTTGTTTGTGATGCATTTTTCTTTAAAATTGAAATAACTTTTTTTGCTTCGATTTTTGCTGCATTTGGAACGTGATTATTATGTTCAATATATTTGGTGACTTTTTCGTCTATTACGTGTACACGACCTTTACAGTGATTTTTTTTGTATTCTGAACATTTCCAATATATTTTATTTTCATGTTCTCGTTCTTTTACGTGTAAAAAACCTTGATAAATAAGTAAATACTTATTTTTTTCGCTTAATACGTACTCTAAAGCCATAATCTATGAACAATACTTCAGCTGCACGAAGTTATTAGCATACTGATTGGGATTGTGTCAGTACGTTATGTCTATCGAATAATATTACGAAAAATTCCTATTCACCTTGCACTATGAAATAACTTAAAGCTATTTTTGCGATCAATTGTCGTGCGGTCAATTGTAATTGCGGTCAATTGGCTTGCGATCAATAGTTTACGTTCAATTGTCGCGCGGTCAATTGCTTACGATAAATTGACGGTACACCATCTTAACCTACATCTCCGCACTACAGTGCGTACGAGTAATCAAAAAGGGGGGCCCTCTATATTGTTAAGATTTCCTTACACTCATTGGTTGTCTAGTAGTATAAGGTCTATTGTCTGAAATCATCAACTATGGGGAAGGTTTCTGTTAGAAAATTGGATCTTGTCAGTACATTTGGGTACTTGTGGGAGGTAACAATTGAAAATTCTCAATAGGTACTTTTAAATATAATCGGAAAAAAGTAAGCAAGTAGGTATCCGCTGTACTAGGACGTATTGTGTGAGTCACTGTGATAAATTTGAACAACGAAAAACAATTCTGAATGAAGACAGTCTTTACTAATTATTAAATATATTATATTAAATTATTGGTTTTTACCATGGTAATTTATTCTACTATTAGTAGTGTAATAGATTGAATTAATTTTTGCCAATGTGGTATCCATGAGTCACAAGTCACAATAAAATAAATAGATACGTCAGTAACAATACGACTTTTGGTTCGGCTAACGTATCCCATTGTCCCCAGTCATAGCACCCCATTCCATAGGCCATTAAATTATCTTCCAAAAGACAATCTCACGTTATTACATACATATTAATATATTATCTTATATTCTACCAATGAGAAGAGCGAACACGGTCACGGTGCGTGTTACAAAACTGCTGATATACCCGTTTACTTTCCCATGATGTTACCTTTGAAATTCGTGTATATCATCTCTGTTATAAGGAGATGTCACAAAAAAAAAATTCTGGCCTTACTTGAATCTAAAATGTATTACTAACTATTAAGAAATTATTAATTGATGAATTTGCCTCAACAATAATGGTTATTACTTATTAGCGTAAACAGTGATTACATTTTGTTTTTTTTTAATTACAAATGTTTTCTTAAATATAATACAACTGTCTATTACTCAGGTATACGTATACTAGTGTCCCAGGTATATAATAAATACTAAGAAGCAATACTCACTCGTCCGAAAGGTTTCAGGTTGGATTTTAGGTTCAGTGATTGGTACTTTCTTTGGTGGCCTTCCCTGGAACATAATAATATACAAAGCCAGTATAGATATTAGACTATATTATAAGCTATAGGCATAGTTGAACATAGAAATCTAATATTAAATAACTACAATTTAAATAATATAATTTTTGTCCACAGCAAAATCATTTTATTCAATACTGAAATTTTCCGAAAGATTGAAATTTTTAATAAAAATTTAGAACAATTTTGTGTCGTTTTTCTTCGTTGATAATAATCTAATATTACATAAAAAATGAATTGTAACAGAATATATGTATTTTACAAATAAAAATCTTTTAAATTACTACACTTAAAGTAATCGTTTAAACTCTAAAATCTAAATAGTGTTTTAACTTATAAGTAATAAGTGAATGTAGTTAACCTATAATTATTTATTTTTATAAATTATAATATAGTAGGTAAAATTAAAAAATAATTCCAGTTTTTCGATCTCCCAACTTAATTATACCTATTCAACAAATTGCAAAATTTAAATTATTTCATTCTTACTAAATTTTTAAAAGCCACAGTTAATTGTTTAAGATTTTAATATCAGTTAAAATGCTTTCTAGCTGCCACACTACGCATTTTGTAGTGTCCTTCTGAAAAATAAGTCCAACTTCATATTGTGGTTGTGGGACGTGGGAATCAACCTGACCCACCAAAACGTCCAAAACACAAAGTGACAAGATTCTTAAGGAATTTTATTTTTGTAGGTTGACTATCATAGATGGAAATCCTACATTTAAAAAATATTTAGTGAAAAAAAAGATAATGACAACAACAATACATATTGTTAATTTGGTATTCGTTTAATATTTTTAGTCAAATTAAAAATCATAAAATGATGTTATTTTATTATTATTAATTAACTAGAATTATAAAATAAAACAGAATTACATTTAATAATATGTAATTCAGTAAAAAAAGGTGGTAAGTAGGTAAAGCTTTGTTGTACATTTGGTGTATTATAGAAAGTCACTGTAATGGATGTGTTGAATTTGAATCCGATGATATAAAATCTTTGTATACGAAGAACGATTCGACCAAAAATAAAAATTGATTTCGTTGAAAACCAATTTTGTGTAAAAATTCCAGTTTTTTCCTAATTTTTTGTTTTTTTTACTCAGTGCTTATGAAAACGACTGAGATTTCTAAATTTTGACCTTTCGAACGGTATGTTTAATTCCCGACATTTTTATATTGAATCAATGATTAAAATACAAATAATTTATACATTTATGTTTTAATAACATAATAGACCCTTATAAAATGTTGTACTTTCTTTAATTCGTATTCGGATCAGTACCTACACTAAATAAAACAGCAAAGGGCACATAATCACTAGACATAGTTTATTTTCAGATTAATAATATTATTTCACATTTATACCATTTTTGTCGAGCATTAAACAATTTAATACGTACTTTTTCTATTCACTATTAAAGACAATGTATACTATGTATTTGAATAAAATTTCATTATATCCATCACGATTTATTATTACCAAATAAACGTAATGTTATCGCGTTATTTTATGAACGTGGATTGATAAGCCATAAGGTGTAAATAGCGTACAAATTTAATCCAGTTAAACACGCTGCTAGGTTTGCTGCTTACTCGCTAGAGCATGTCAAACACGGCATGTCAAACACGCGACCACCAACGCATTTTCGTATGGAAAACAATTATAATTTAAAGTTAACAATTAAAAAAAAAATTAATAAAAAAAATCGGGCTGATGGTTGACTGTAATGGTTGGTGATTAATTTGAATTCAATGATATAATATATTGATATCATGCATACAAAAAACGATTCTAGGCGGAAACGGTTTGTTAGCCTAAGATATTTTATATTATATTTATATTATCATTATTTATAACTAATACGGTAGCCGGTAGGTTGAATTAGTTATTTTTGCATATTATCTTATTTGTATACAATAATATACTTCAGAAGTTTCAAATATCTACGAATAATATTTTTAAATTACAACAATGTAACTAAAATCATTATTCTTGCTTATTAATTAAATTAATAGGTATGTGATTTCGTCCAAATTTACTTAAAAAAACTGTGTTAGTATATTTTTAGATGTTTTGGTGACATAATTATTTACTTGTGTTCAACTTTGTCTTAAATTGTCGATCCTTAGCAAATAAAGTTAAACATTTTATAAATATTTCACTACAAAATAATTTGTAAATGTTATCAAAACTTAAACTTTAAATGCTTATAATACAAAATCTTGAGTGTATTTTTAATATTTTTCAACTGCTATTTTTTTTACTTAATAAATAAAATTATATTGACATTTATAGAAAACAAAACCAAAAAAATTGAAAATGTCCATAAACAGTTTAAAACAAGTCAAAATATTTTGAAAGTCGTATTGTGTAAGGAAATTGCTTATATTGTTATAAACATTTAGTGAACATTTCATATATCTACGGTTATTTTGTTTTGTGTTACACCAAAATCCAAAATTGATTTTGTAAAAAACTGATTTGCGTAAAAATTCCTGTTTTTCTTTATTTTTTTTTTTTTGCTTTTTCTGACGGTTTGGAAAACTACTAGAAATTGAAAATTCATTTCTAATTGCATGCATCTAAATGATTACTTAATTGAAATTGTTGGTTTTTAATTTCTTTTGTAAAAATGTGTTATAATATGTTATACCTAAAATGTATGAATTATGGCATATTTATTAAAACATACATATTATATAAGATAATAATGTAACATGATTATTTTTGATGTTCATAAATAATTTAATAGGATTTCATACACTAAGTCAATTTTAATTAAATAATTCCTATCTACCTTGGAATTTTTTTTATTACAAACATCAATCTTATTCAAAAATTTTGCCATAGTCCAGCAATTAATATTTTCATAAATTGTATTTGACATAATATATTATACTAAAAAGTGAATAGAAAAATGTTTATAATAATTATTGTATTTATATTTTAGATTCAGAATTTCTACCTTAACTGTAGGTAACTATACTGGATTATATTTTACTATATATAATATCTATTTATATTTATTTAGGTATATTAAGAAATGTGAAACAATGATATGATGCAAGTATTAGTATTGAATTAACTTAAACCAAAAAGGTACCTCAGTTGAATAAAATACAGATGGATTTTTTACTTTTTTCCATGAAAGATTTTTGGTCATTAGGCTGACCTGAGTGATACCAGAGAACAAAAGATATATTAGGCATTTATGAAACAAAACCAAAAAACTTGGGTTTAAAACTACGTCTACCGCAAGATATTCTTCTATCAGACTCAAGCTCAGACGAATATCAACTTTAAATTAATAACCTAAAATACTCATTAACTAACATAATATAGTGTATACATTATTATTACTATATCACAAACTGTATACAATTGTACAACCTTGTACAATATAAGTAATGTGAAATTTCTAATTTCTAACTAGTACAAGTAAGCAAACTTGTAATAGCATATCATATGCTGAAACATTTTAATTTTAATAAATAAAAAAACATCATTTTATAATGTATTTATTATACATAGATAATACATATACAATACAATTTTTTTACATTTATGAAATATTGTATTAAAATGTATGAAAATGAAATAATGAATCATGATATTTTAAACTCATAATATTGTATAAAATATAGGATTATATTAGGAATGTGAATTATAAAATGTATGAAAATAGAAGCATGTATGATTGAACAAATTTATTACCAAAAATTTTTTTACCTGATATTCAGTCATATCATTTGTATTACCAATTACCATTTTCTAAACCAATTATTTCAAAAAATATTTTAAAAAGGGGACTCATTTAAGTGCATGTCAAATATTTGTGTTTGCTCTTAAATATTGTATTTTTAAACTATTTGAAATGTTTTTAAAATACTTACTAAATGAATGTATTATGATTTATATGTAGAATTTATACACAGTTTAAAAAGTTTTTTTTACAACACTGCTTTACCACCAATAATTAAGCAATCAAAATACAAATTTTGACTGCAGTGAATGGTTCATCAATGAAGGATATCTTTTTAACTGTAGTTAAAAATGTATATTTTTTTATTTTAATAATATTTGGACGAGTACTGTGGTAATTTATTGTCTTGCTAAAATTCTACATAAAAAGCTTTATCTGAGTTTTGATCCTCAAACGGGTAGTCAATGCGATCTAGTAGTGAACTTGGTTCGAGTTATATTTTTAATCTACTATAGTTTGGCCAGCGAAAAGTGAGCCGTGATCGTTACGTTCCAAGTGGTGTATTAAAGCGTAATCGCATATAATTGAGGAAATCCTGATTAAATTCGACCACCAGGAGCATTGGTATCGCGGCTCACTTTTCGCTGGCCGTACTATTATAAGCCAAGTGTTATCAATCCACCTTGCTATGTACCTTTGACAAAAATACTGTGCATCAGAGCTGAACATGCACCAGTACCACAGAAAATATTAATTAATATTTATTTATCTACTCTGTACATGTACCCAAGTAAGAGATCGCAATACGAAAAATAGTCGGAAATCGTAAAGAGACTGACGACTGTTTCAGCGGTTGTCATAAACGTTACCGAGTTGGTGAGATGAGTGCAGCGCGCTTAGACCTTTACCAATAGATGGAGACACGGATTAAGGGCACCCCAAGTTTGTTCGTTAAACTCGTTTGAAACTTACAAGAAATATTCATAAATCATGATGTAATACAATGATTAAGTGTGTACACCGTTTTAAAAAATAACTATACACAAACTGTTGTGAGTATGTGACCTACACACATGCGCAGAAGAGCGGGCTACCACGATCACCGTTAACCGACGTTCACTATCATCACGCGACATATTTTGGGGCGGGTTTCCGATGTACACGTTCGCTTAAATCCTTTGCTGTGATTGATTGATTGGTCAGGTTACCACACGATTAACCACGTTACCGTTTTGTTGGACATGGCTGAACATTATCCGTGTGCACGGCAATACGGCACACGAATACAGCGTAAACTCGCCTTAAAGCGCGACGGCAGTCCATGGTTACCAATGCAACCCAAGCTCCGGTTGTATAGTGTATACCACGAACATATAATAGTAAGGACTGGCTACTGCAGCTCGACCAGTGTGATTCGCTTATTGTCGCCATTTCAATAATAATCCGCTAGGGTCGCTACTGTGCGTTCGCCCTATTGCCGCCCACGAACATATAATAGTTGCCGCCAATGTAGAAGCGTAATTAACGTATACAAACAAGTAATACTTCGAATTTACCAACTTCAAATTGAACTGCATGATATAATTAATTATATCATGTTGTATAGCACCTATATTATAGTATAACATTTTTATAATCTTTCTTTATGAGTATTTTCACCGATTACAAATAAAATAAGAGTTGTTATTATAATTAATAATGATTGAAATTCGGGAATAGGATTATACAAATATTTTAATGATTATTGTCATACTTTCATAAATCATAATATTGAATACATCAGTAGTCAGTACTCAGTAGACTGGTGCAGTTATTTTGTTAAGGTTAAGTAATAATGATTTATAATATTTATTACAAATTTTCATTATAGGTAGGTTCATCAGAAAATATAGTATTGAAATTATAATATATTGTACCCACTGCATACTTGTTAAAACTAAATGAAATCAAGAATTAAAAAAAAAACTTTCTTAAATATCAAAAAAGCCGTATTTTTTTTAAGTATATAGCAAAATAAAAATATGTTGTACCTAATAATTAGTTGAATATGTAACTTATTAATATCTAAAATAATTTATCCAGACCAGAATAAAATTGACTATTTTATTAATGTAGGCATGGGATGATAAAATAAAGGTAGGTATTAAAAAATCAGAAAATAAAACTAGTAGGCAATAGTTAATTGAAAAATGTCTACAAAACACAAACTCTAGTGATGAAGCATTAATTAATTTTTTTATTTAAAACATTTGGTACTATGTACAAATTAAGTTTACTTAACTTAAATAAGTAATGCCTAACTTAAAGTAAATTTTGAAACCCTTTTTTTTATCATGTTTTCTTATTTTGTTTCAGTATTACATTTTTGGGAAAATTGCCGCATTCTCATATTAATATAATATCTAATTGCAAGAGCAATTATTTTTTCGCTATGCTGGAAACATGGAAAATAAATAACATTGTTTTTTAATAATTTATAGCTGGATCTTTTGGGGCAGTGAAAAAATGGTGTTTATTGACACAAGAATCGTAACCAGATTTACATCCTGGTACGATGCACCTGTGTCCCGGCATGATAAATAATAAAATAAAATTAATATAAAACAATTTTACTATAAACTACCTAATAGTAAGTTTTCACATATTTTTACGTATCGTTGTTATCGGTTGTTGCGATTTTGTTGGGCGAACGCACATGTGGCGCTCATAGCGGAATTTCTCTATTGTGGCGACGATAATCGAATCATAATTTTATATGGACGGGATAGCAGAGAGCAGCTGCTGCTGCCCCGTGTTGTATACTCTATATCTACATCTTATCTGTGGCATACTCCGCGCATTGCCGCCTGCCGGGCGGCAGATGTTTTCTCGCAGCTGGCTTCTGATTGGTTCCCTTAAAAACTGGTGGCCGTCACACAGCGCGGCGAAGTGAGTTGTGTTGTTTGATAACTACGAGCGCGACCAGAGTCGACGTGTACAAACGTCGAAAGTGCGACTATGGCGATCGGTGCGGCGAAAGGAGTTGTTTTCGCTGCGCGGCGGGTAGAGCAATATACGTACATTGTATACAACTGAATTATCAGTTACTGGTTTCGTTTGAGAACCCCTGTCTAACGGTGGGGTATTACTCGGAGGTCGCGGGGTTAAATGGCCACTTTTTCTGGTTACCTAATCGTAAATAGTGAATACGTCGGCTACTCGGCTATATGGCATATTATGCCTGTATCCATTGTCGTTTTATAAGCGTTTGGATAATCCCCGGTAACACAAGAGACTAGACACAGCCCTCTTTTACAGCGTTAGGTTAGATACAAAAACTGACATTAACCCGTTCCACATTGGATCGTAAATCGGGTACACAATAGCGTTTTCGTTGTGACAGAATAGTGTGCACTGAAATTCCGCTGCTACTAGTTTTTTTATAAACCCAATTCTAAAAAAACATTATTATTATCAGATACAAATAATAAACATAATCATTATGATAATAATATGTCAAAAGGGGAAATCAGATAATAATGTGTAGCGTTTAAAGGGAGAAACAGTTCATAGTAGTTATAAAATGCACGAATTCGGCGGTACAGAGAGTGCGTACCGAGCGCACACGGGTGTTGTCGACGCAAATAAATCGGATACGAAATACTGCAACTTAAGTTAACTGAACACAAAACGTACGTCAAATCGAAAACGACATCGGTAATCGGACGAACGAAAAAAATTAAAAGGTTTTCAAATCCCTCCGTCCGGGCTTAGGGCAGTCGGCATTTGCCGGCCGACGCCGCCGTCATTCCAAACAACGGCAGTCCGGCTTCGGCCGTTCACTCGCCGTTCGATTTCACACGAAATAGCTCAGTAAGATTGTGAATACACACGAGTCTCATCTATACTGTTGGGTCACTGTTATAATTTACATCGAAAATCGTATAACGCTTTTATACGTACCCTTTTTCTTCCAGCTACCGGCTTCCGCGACATTACCATTCGATATATTACTCGACGATCTCGAAGCGTCCGTCGAACGTAACTGGTAAAACTTTTGATAATACGTTACGAATGCGAGTAATGCGACGGTTCGCTTTAGGCTGCGTACGCAATGCGCATCGTGCTTAACGTCGGATGGCAATAATAATTTAACGGTCACTGCGGCGACTGACGGGCAATAATATTTTAGGCGTTGCGGATTCTGCGACGAGACTACGATAGACGGCGGCACACTGCCACGAATCACGATGGCGACTCGCACAGTGCACACTGCTTTGTACGTTGTGCCTTCGGCTCTGCGCGTACGTGTTTTCTTTAAAAGAATGTAACATCCCCCGACCAACCCGCAGTGCGTAGGCCTGATGTTCCCCCACCAGCAGTGGCTTTCCGTCCAGGGAATCGTCGTCAGGGCAGCGTTCACTGCGAGGCGCGCAAACATTTGGGACATGGACGGCCGGGCACGACGACATTTTATAAATTCCATGCTTGTTATACACCCATAAAGAAATGGACAATAGACAGGGGAGTTCCGGGTCCGACATAATGGTTAATGGAATAAGCTGGTTGCTATACTTCTAGTGCGACAATGGAAACAATTTAATGACAGAGATAGCAATGTTTGGAAAAAAGGTATCACAGGTATTTTATCATCTGTTTCCAACGACGTTGTCACTTACCGACTTATTTTATTATGGGCATGGGGAACGCACTATATTTATATACGTATTAAAATGGATATAGGGTACAATGTACATCAAGATAAGTTTTGTAGGTAGCTGCCGCAGGTAAAATGACTTGTAAGCATATATGTAATGCTGAAGCTGCACCGTGTTGATAATATTATATAACGTATTGAAGAAAATAATATTATCATTTTAAAATCGACTTTTTTCAATAATTGCTCTCTATTTAACACGTCTTACTCGCTTACTTATCACACATTTTGTTCGTTATAGGTGTATGCAAGCATCACGATAGTTATGTTATAACTCAAGGCCAAGACATTTATTCCAAAATACTTAAACTATAAAGTTGATAAAATAATAAATAATAATTACAAATTAAATCCTAAATAGTAATATTAGGAGATAATGAAAGATTTCCGATTAAGAGGACGCTACGCCCGTAAGTGCGTAAGTGTTGTCTCCGTCTTACAAGATACCTATGCAAAACACGATAAAAACTGTACTTCGCGGCTAAGAACCACTCAGATCTCAGAATGTAGCTCAAGCTAAGCATCCAAATTTTCACACAAAAAGAGAAAAACATTTACTATGCAACGTTGTTTTTGTGTTCGATATCAGAGCTAAAAAAAAAGTTAAAAAGAACATTTTTTGTATTGATATTGAAAATTAAAAACTACGTTGCACAATTAATATACTCCTCTACATTATGTGAAAAATTGGATGGGTGTAGTGTCATCTTAATAATAACGGATGACGATGAAAACGATTTTATACCTTCTTGTTCCATTTAGCTATTTATTAATAAGGTAGGTACGCCTGTACATCTGTTTTTGAGTACAATATAATGTATTCAATATTAATTAAATAATAAATACTCTATATTATTACTAACCTAAGTTAGGTACTTTTTAAGAAAAAAATGCAAAATTTGATTAAACTTGTGGGTTATAGATGCAATTGTACATCTTACATCTAGTAATTAAAGCTTGACACTTTTTGATCTACTATTAATTTTTAGTCTTGTAAATAAATATCATCGATACAATAATTTTCACTGGATTAAAAAGGGTTATAAATCAAAATAAAATACATGATGTACAACATTTTTTTATACACATTAATTAATGTTAAAATTTGGACGAAGAAAATTGCTATAAAAATATTTTGAAACTTATGTTTATTTAATTTAATATACCTATATAATGGTAATCGGTAAAAAACGACAAGGACAAAAAGTCAAATAAAAAACGTTACGGTAAAAAAGGGGAGTCAGAAAAAAAGTCCGGGGAAAAAAAGTACACGGAAAAAAAGTCCGATTTAATTTTTTTCGGAAAAAAAGTCCGTCAAGAAAATTATTATACGGAAAAAAAGTCCGGTTTGATTTATTGTTTCATAAAAAATTAACGTTGTTATACCATCTACAGAAATAGAAGGTATTAAGGTAAGGTAGCCAAATATAAAACGGATGATACATGAAGTCATTTTTGCCAATGAATAAAGTTAACGACGGTTTGTACAGAAGAAGGCAAGAAGCTACATAGGTTCTTGATTATTTCGATTCCACATATGTCAATGGTACATATAGAAAGTCAGGAAAAAGTATAACTATAAAATTAAAAAACATTAATCGTTATTTCCACCAGAAATATGGAACGTTCACGAGGCTACGATAAACGGTCAACATTGTACAAACAATATTTGCGAGAGTTGGAACAACCATTTTACGCATTTTGTCGGACACGCGCACCTAACCATCTGGAAGTTAATTTCTAAAATGCGTATCATCTCCTAAGTAGATAGAGCTAAAACAGCGTTACAAAAATTAGGTGAAGGGATTCCAACACCAAAAAAACGTACCGGTGAACGTTTAAAAAACTTATGTTCTGGAGTGGCCATTGACGAAATATCGGTGGAAGAATTTTTAATTAATATTGGCCATTGCATTCGAAAACGAAATAAATATTAGTTTTAAATTTTAATTATTTATAGTTTTAAATTAAATTAATATTATATATTATAAGTTTAGTAATTCTATTTTTTTTTATATATATTTATTATTTTTATTAATTATGAAATAATAAATCAAACCGGACTTTTTTTCCGAAAAAAATTAAATCGGACTTTTTTCCGTGTACTTTTTTTTCGGGATTCGTAAAAAAGGATACTAATAAAATATAACACAAAAAAAAGATAAAGTTACAAGTTACTATAACTAATATAGTGTGTATATAGTAATATTGTTATTATTATTATTATTGTAACTTGTATTATAAAATCGCCACTATAGTTAACAACAACAGTAGACATTGCCATCCGACTGTAAGTAGCGAATAATAAATCAAAAAATTACCTAAAAATGCATTAAGAACATTACAAAAAAAAACAAAGATTTAGGTATACAGATTATAGAGTTACAAAATTAATTAAAAAATAAATGTGAAGAATATTCAGGTGAGGAAAGAGATATCCCACATTTTTCTTATCAATAGGTACATTTTTCTATCATATTTTTTTTTGTAAATTACATTCACATAAATAATTTACAACCATAATCTCTTCGTCGAAGTTCCGAGGTGGTGGCGGCTGTACCTACTCGTATATAATCTCACCAGAGCCGCTACCGCAAAACTTTCGGATAGAGTTCCAATCGCTAACATTCAGACGTCGTTCATTTGCACACCATACTGCCAGCAGTTCCCCCGCGCTCCAAGTCTCAGAGAAGGTTTCAATGTTTAATAAGTTTTAGAACAATTGATTGGTTTGCCAAAAATAATATAATTTACTAAATATGGCACTGCTTCAAAACAGTTATAAATTCTAATATAATAATAATTTATTTCACCAATAACAGCAATGATTACAATATTAGAAGAAATAACAATAACAGTACCTATCGGTATACTCATTATAGCCTATAGCTGTGACATGAGTAGGAGTTATAAATAAAATATTTAACAGAAAAATTAATAATATAGCAAGGAATACGATTAACAATTACGAGTACTTTAAATAAACTTAAATAAAAAGTTCATCTGAACTTACAACTAATTTAGCTAATAATGTTGATTATACCAGTTTAAGTGAAAGATTTACAAAATCAATAGTATTAATGTACTGTTTAAATAATATGTAATTGTTATCAAAAGTAAATTAATTAATTTTGAAAGTAGTACAAATTTTACATAACACAAAAAGAATACAAAATCTCTTAAAATTAGTTCTAGGTTTAAGAACAATAATACCAATAGAATGTACTATAATTATGTGTAGATGTATCAATAATATTCTTGTAATTAAATATAAAAAGGCAGAAATAAATAAATGTGGCTTGAAGGATCCAAAGTTGACTTAACAACAAAATTAATCTATTTTTTTCAAAATTATTACTGATATAAAATTCAAGATGATAGAACCTGCTTACGTCTGATATACAATACTTCGAGAGGATTTTGATTTTAAGCGTTCCATGGCACGTGTACGTGAGAAAACATAACCCTAATCCCTCTCGCTGTCAAAGGAGTCAAAATAATAGGCTTCATAATACATTTAAATATGTTTACAAAATTATTTTTACCGAAGCAAGCCGAGTACTCAAGCCAGTTAATTGGAACTCGTAAAGATTTATTTTTCTCTAAACAACCATAGTGTGAAATCGCCTTATGAAATACAGTCGTCGGTAGACTTGTATCGAGGGGTGCGGCAATACTATCCGGAGGTGTACATGTCATTGATCTCTGAGGGTAACAAACGGGCTTTGTCTGACTGCCGTCGATGATAACTGGTACCATTAGTTTGGTTTCCCTAAATTAAAAACATTTAACTTATAGTTGCTCCTTGCCGGTGTACATTATAGTTTACAACACGAAAAATATTTGGTGACCGTCACGAACCTATCTGCTGTTTCGTTGGCTAAGCAGCTCATTCGGATTCCAACCCGTGTACATTTAATAAAATCGTATTGCCTACATCACGAAATGTATTCGGTATATATTTTTGATATATAAGCCATCCGCTTCTGCTTTACAAAAATGTCAATTCCAAACTGCTCTCATTTTACAAAATTTGAATTCCCAAACGGTTCTCGTTTTTGACAACACAAATTCCTTCCCATTTCATACAGACTTAGGACAGTAAGGACTAAGATTAAAATATGTTGAGGTTTTTTAAATTTTATATTGAAAGTAAATTATAAAAAGCGGCGTTCTATAAAAACGCATGGGTAGGTTATCTGCAGCAAAAATGGCAATTGCCGAATTCCGTCAAACCTAAGTATTACATTTAAACGATATGGCTAATTATTTTGGTATGTCTCAAGTGAGTCCTTAATTCTATCACTAATAATATAAATATACTATAATAGTAACTATAATATTTATTAAATTAATTATGGTCAATGAAAAAAAAATTTAATTTATCGAAAAAATACAAGACTGAACGTTTAGAGCCGTTGCTACTCTTCGCAATCCAAAAATATCTGTCGAGTGAATTTCGAATAATAACTTTAAAAAAAATACCTAAAAATATGATGCTGAGAATTCAACCCCGAACCAGGGTATGATTAGGTTA